CTTTTCGCTATCCGATAACAACTTATTACTGTGTCATCTTAAGGAATCTATTGGAAGGGACCGAATCCACAAACACAGGCTATATTCATAGCCTATCTAGGGTCAGTTGTACTTTTTCATTATATGACTAACTACTGCCTATTAAAAAAAAATACAAAATAAAAATAAAAATAAACAGATAAAATCCAGTACTTCTGTCACATAAATTTAACAGCTGTAAAATTTTGTACCTTATGTTTTTTGGCATGAATAATAAAATATATTTATAATTAATATTAAATGATGAGGATTGTGATATTTTAATAAAAAGAACAATTATAAACAGTAAATACGCTACACCCTTATACAAAAATTTTGATTTATACCGTTTACAAAATACTTATTGTAAAACGGCGCAAATTTAAAAATAACATGCACATTATCAATGATTTTGAAAAATAAGTAGTATTTCCATAGTATTCAGCTACTTATTAGCTAGAAACAACCATTAATAGCATTTTCTTATGGGAATCAAAGGAGATTGCTCAAATTGGCCTAAATGCACAAAAAATATTGACATACATGGTAATTCTTGTCGTAATTTATAATTTAATTTACAGTCATTAGATTTCAACGGACACCTTTGTATAATATATTTACTTTAAAAAGGACTTTTAATTTTACCGGTTTGGAAAACATACGAATCAATTTTAATGGCTATGGGTGTAGTAACATTCAGCCAAAGACTGATCGAAGTTGTTTATATAACATAAAAACAAATCTATTTTGTAAAGATCAATAAAATAAATATTTTTTTTATTACACTGTGGTATTAATATCCACAACTATATTATCATTTTCACTAGATGCAAATGTGCTCAGACAATTATTATAGATGGTCGGCGACATCATTAAGTCTATTGCCATACATTTTTCGCCAAACACCTCCATAAACACATTATAATCTGTATATATGTTAGACTTTAAGGTATCTATCTATGGGCCTACGTTCCCTGACTATAAATTAATAAATAAATAACATTATAAGGTGTGATACACTAAAAATCTAAAATATGGTCTTTCATCATTTCATCTTAAAAACATAACAAAAATAATGAAGCTACTGAATATATGGCTATAGAACCTAAATCTCTTAGCTTTCTTTGGTTAACGAGAGTTTAAAAATTCTCTCTAATCTGTGGCTCATTCACAATCATCACACAGTTTCTGTCACAGAGTACCATATTATAACCGGAAATGACACCTCATTTTAAAAGTTACTCTTATGCATTAACTTTAAAAACAGGCAACCATCTGTTAATCTACATGCTCTATATACCTGAATCTAATCCATAATTTCGGTACTTGGCTTGATTTCCCTAGTTTACTATATAACTTATTTGTTTTATATTATTTTAATATGTTCAGTGTATATGGTTTATAGAAGTTCTCAGGGGTGTCCGTCAATAATATTCGTTTCTACAGTAATTTATACATAATTTCGAATCTAGGAAACAATTTTTCATGATTATTGGTCTTTAGGCCAAACATGTATGGAAGCTGAGCAATCTCCTTTCAAGAAATATGGTACGTAACACAATTTCTTAGTATGGAAAACTACATAAAAAATCTGCATCTTAAGATTCCTCTCGTGTTTCGAATTGATTTTTTTATTAATGTGTTAATCAGACCATACATTTGCTACATTTTTTCCATATCAACAAGGTGCGCGCGACGCGCCCCTACCGAGATATAGGTATTGATCGTTTTTTTGAAAATACGTATTTGTACAAAATAAATTTCAAAAAAGTAAATTTCAAATACTTTTTTGAAAATTTTGTAACTTGTATTTAAATACTTTTTTCAGTATCTTAGTATTTTGAAGATACTTTTTTACTAAGATGCTTAACTTTTCCATTAACTTTGTTCACCGTGAAAAGAAAATTGTAAGTTCAAGTATGTTGCCGTCTCGTTCACTTTAATGTTATTTATGGGTTAGGTGGTAGTGAACAAAAAATAACATAATTTCCCCTAAGTTACGGATTTTTTGTTAGCGTTCACTAGAGGAAGAAGAGTCGTTTGAAATATTGTGTCAATTTTCTTTGGTCTATTTTGTAATGGAGTGAAATGAACATAATACTTAATCAGGTTATTTTTACAAAAAATAGAGAAAAAGACCGGATTTTATTAATGATATCATCTCTTGAACTTGACCATTCGCAAACACTGCATATTATTAATAATCGCGGTCACCCATCCCAAACCCAACCAATCGGAAACAACCTGCATATTATTAATAATCACGGTCACCCATCCCAAACCCAACCAATCCTAAACAGCCTGCATATTATTAATAATCACGGTCACCCATCCCAAATCCAAACCAATCGTAAACAACCTGCATACTCATAATCATGGTCACCCATCCTAAACCTGACCAATCATAAACACCCTGCACTTTCAGAATATCGAAAAAAAAATTTACACCGAAACTATCATTAACTTCGGCTCGACCGGAGGAATACCGCGACCTCACAGAATACCGGCGTGAAGCAGTACTTTGTGCTGTGTTCCTGTGCACCGAGTGAGTGAGGCTACCGGAGGCTCAACCCCCCCCCCCCTTCCTCATGATGGAGCAGTTAAATAGGATAATACCCCAGGGGGGTACCAGCTGTTTTCATGCTGGAGAATCCCCCTCTGGACGTCCATGCCCAGAACTGTCTCCTTCTGGACGTGGACGTCGAGGCTGCCCTTCGTATTCTGGGGAGGGCGAAATCGCGCTCATTACTGAAACTGCTCGAGGCCAGAGCAAGCGTCATACACACACACACCCCCTGCCATGTTTAACGTGGATTTCTGCAATATCAGGGGCTTACACTCCAACCTTAATGCTGTTCACTACTACCTTCAGACAGTGCAGCCGGCCTTGCTTTTTTTGACTGAGACGCAGATATCCTCTCCAGTCGACACCTCCTACCTCCAGTACCCTGGGTATGCTTTGGAACATTCCTTTGTAGCAAGGGCTGGGGTATGTGTATACGTTAGAGAGGGTATCAGTTTCCGTCGCCTCAGCAACTTTGAAGGTAGGGACCTCTCCATCTTATGGTTGCGTGTAGACGTCGATGACCATCCCCGCGTCTACGCCTGCCTCTACAGGTCCCATAGCGCAAATGCCGAAATTGACCGACTCTATCACGTCCAGGTGGCTACAGACTCCGTGCTTCAGCAGTCCCAACATCTGAAATTGTGATCCTTGGCGATTTCAATACCTACCACTCCGAATGGCTTGGATCGCCCACTACCGATCATGCAGGCAGATCTGCTCACGACTTTGCCTTGGCCTATGGTTTGACACCTCGCCTGCGCGAATCCCAGATGTCGAAGACCATACACCTTCACTGTTGGACCTTCTGCTGACTTCACATCCGGATAATTACAAAGTGTCCATAGATGCCCCTCTTCGCTCCTCGGACCATTGTCTAATCCGGAGTATGGTACCACTCACTCACCGCGGCCGCAATTTGCTGGCTGTCGTCGTGTGTGGCACTATAAGTCAGCAGACTGGGATGGGATGCGCACTTTCTTTTCATCCTACCCCTGGGGCCAGGTTTGCTTCTCGCAGAATGATCCCAACGTCGCTGCCGATTCTGTCGCCGATGTTGTCCTTCAGGGTATGGAACTTTTTGTTCCTTCCTCTGTGGTTCCCATTGGTGGCAAATCCCAGCCTTGGTTTGGTCACTACTGTAAACTGGCATCTCGCCAAAAACAGATGTGTTATCAGGCCTGGGCAAACGCAGCGGCTGTCGGGGATAACAACACTAGCGATCTCAAAAAGAAGTATAGCAAAAGAGAAAGCGGATCTTTTATGCTCACTCTTTGCGTCTAACTCGACACTAAATGACAGGGGATACATCGACCGTCCCGCGGTGTGAGAGCTCTATGCCGGAGATCCGGTTCACACAAAGCTTAGTGCGTAAAGCACTCATTTCCCTTGTCATCCACAAGTCGAGCGGGCCTGATGGAATCTCACCAATTGTGCTGAAGACGTGTGCTCCTGAGTTGGCTCCGGTTCTAACGCGTCTCTTCCGGCTCTGCTACTCTTTAGGTGTCGTTCCGAACTCATGGAAGGCAGCTTTAGTGCACCCTTTAGTGCATTCCTAAAAAAGGCGACCGCTCACTCTCTACTAATTATAGGCCTATAGCCATCACCTCCTTGTTCTCCAAGATAATGGAGTCTATTATAAATCGCCAGCTCCTGCGGTACCTAGAGGACCATCAGCTGATCAGTGACCACCAGTACGGTGTCCGTCAGAGTCGCTCGGCTGGTGATCTACTAGTATACCTGACTCATCGTTGGGCAAAGGCGATCGAGACCAAGGGGGAAGCATTGGCGGTCGGTCTGGATATCGCGAAGGCCTTCGATCGGGTTTGGCACAAAGCGCTTCTTTCGAAGCTTCCTTCTTATGGGCTTCCTGAAAAGCTGTGCGGTTGGACCACTAGCTTTCTTGCGGACAGGAGCATTAAGGTCGTAGTCGACGGTGCATGCTCGGACTCCAAATCCGTAAACGCTGGTGTTCCGCAAGGCTGTGTGCTATCGCCTACGCTGTTTCTTCTTCATATCAATGATATGCTTCAAATTGATGGCATTCATTGTTATGCAGACGACAGCACGGGTGATGCCCTATATACCGGCCGCGCCAACATTTCGCGGGAAAACGTCATCGAGTGCCGGAACAAACTTGTGTCTGAAGTCGAAACTTTGTTAAACCGAGTAACGGATTGCGGCCGACTTAATCTAGTCCAATTTAACCCTACGAAGACACAAGTATGCGCGTTCACCGCATAAAAAATACCATTTGTCGTATCTCCTCTTTTTGAGAACACTCCTCTAACTGCCTCAGCTAGTATTGGAATTCTTGGCGTTGACATATCGAGCGACGTCCAGTTTTGGGACCATTTAGAGGGCAAGGCCAAATTGGCCTCTAAGAAGCTTGGTGTGCTCAATAGATCGAGAATGTAATTCACACCGGCCCACCGACTGCAGCTTTATAAGGCACAGGTGCGGCCTCACATGGAGTACTGCTCTCATCTTTGGGCGGGGGCACCCCAGTACCAACTTCTTCCTTTGGATCGCATCCAGCACCGAGCGGCTCGAATCGTCGACGACCAGGACCTTTCCGATCAGCTTGATCCTTTGGCTTTGCGTAGGGTTGTAGCTTCGCTCTGCATCTTCTATCGCATTTATCACGGGGAGAGTTCTGATGAATTGTTCGGATTAATTCCAGCTGCTGCATTTCGCCATCGTACATCGCGACAAAAATTTCATCCCCATCATCTTGATGCGTGGCTATCCACAACCGTGCGTTTTTGTCGAAAATTTTTACCACGTACGACAAAACTGTGGAATATGTTGTCGCCAGCAGTGTTTCCGGACCAATACGACCCAAAAACCTTCAAAAAAAGAGCGTACTCCTTCCTTAAAGGCCGGCATCGCATTTGTGATACTACTGGTGTTGCAAGTGTCCATGGGCGACGGTGATCACTTACCATCAGGTGAGCCGTCTGCTTGTATGCCCCCTATAACATAAAAAAAAGCACAGCGGATTGGCTATTTTGCTAACATGTTTTGTTTGAAAAAGTATCTGTATCGTAAAAAAAGTATTTTGAAAATACGTATCTTGTATCTGGTATTTCAAATACTTTTTCCAAAGGTATCTTGTATCTGTTATCTAAATACTACTACCTGGTATCTTGTATTTTAGATACTTTTTCAATGTATCATTGATATCTCTTGACGGGGCGTCGGTCGAACGGAGCTCTAATTCCATAAAAATTGTAAAGAAAAAAGACTAATAAGTAATCAATATCTCCATGACAGTTAAGTTTCGGATACCATATTACAAAATCAAATCCATCAGAAATGAACTGAACTTTTAGTATAAAGAGTCAACTTACAATATTTTTCCAGTGACGGCGCAAATCTTTATAAGACTTGAAAATACCGTACTTGGAAGTCAACTCGCAAGATTCCTCGACAGTGGCTTTGTTCAAACTGTAATTGATGAGGTTCGCACGATAATTTAACTTACGAACTAGGTAATAATAATAATAATAAGATTTATTGACCAAAAAAATCAGTACAGTAAGATTACGTAACAAACATAACACCAGTTATAGAGAAAGTATAATTTATTAGCCTCTGCTGCTGAACTAGGCAATGCCTGTATTTCAGCATTCAGCTCCGTAAACCCCCACAGACATGAGAATACCAAACTAGACTAAATACATATCTCATAAATGAAATGATCAATAGACGTAGCAATTCATTTTAAAAGCAGGCATCTATGAGTATAATATTGAAATTAAGGTAAATACAAGGTAAGTCGTCGGAATCGGTATCTACATTTTCTACGTAACCATAATAATTATTAGGGAACTTAACGGGTTGTTAGAAAAAAAAGCTGATTCCAAAAAGTTGCATAATGCATCCAATTTGTACAAAGTTTTATTAATTTTGAATTTGAATGATAAAGTCGTTAATCCCGTATGCAATACGCGGCATGTTGATTTTTTTTTAATTTAGAGAATTAAAAAGTAAATTTATGATGACGCAGCTTGACCAAGAAAGTATTCACATGTAATTTCAAGGAACAGAGAAGCTGGCAAAGATATCCATAAAGTAGGTGGAAGCAAGACGCTTAGTACGGACCCGATGAACATCTCATTCAACAGAACACACATTGAAATCTACATTTATTTATTCATTATTACCATAAAAACAGTAAATGGCAGACCAAATGCCATAGGCATTCTCTACCAGTCAACCTATTTACGATGTAGACGACCTATATGTGAAAATATTAGGAAAATTAGAAACTTTGAAATGATGCTGAAGGCTTTGAAGTTTCCGATTAGCTAAGAAATCGTTGATGAAAAGATATTCAGGGTAAGTTAACTTCAATGGACTCCTACAACTGAAGCTGATAAGTTAACAATCCATTCCAAAGAAAAAAGTACTACTATTCGCGACATGTTGTGCTAAACACCTACAATGATACAATGATAGTAATTGTTCCAGTGTAAATCAATGTCGCAGCTATCGAGTAGAGGTAGTAGAGACCAGGGGGCCATTCGCCTAACGGAAATGCTTTGGAAAACGCTAACGCTTACGATTTCGTTTTGTTATTTCTAGCCGCCTGAGGTTTTCAAATGCCTCGTGCTCTTTTTTTTCTTTTGCATTGGTAATAACTATATTAAAAAAAATGAGCGTGAGGTATTTGATAACCTTCGGCGGTCAGAAATAACAAAATAAAATCGAAAGCGTTAGAGTTTTCCAAAGCATTTCCGTTAGGCGAATGGCCTCCTGGGGGCTATTCGCCTAACGGAAATGCTTTGGAAAACGCTAACTCTTTCGATTTTATTTTGTTATTTCTGACCGCCCTGAAGGTTTTCAAATACCTGACGCTCATTTTCTTTTATATTGTTATTACCAATGCAAATGAAAAAAAAGAGCGCGAAGCATTTGAAACCATCAGGCGGCTAGAAATAACAAAATGAAATCGTAAGCGTTAACGTTTTCCAAAGCATTTCCGTTAGGCGAATGGCCCCCAGGGATGTTACGGAGCTTCGACTCCGATTCCGATAAGGCGGAACTTCCGATTATTATTACACCTACGGTTCCGACTTCGGCCCCGAAACTTAAATCGGAGGTTTTAATCGGAGGTCGAAGCATAGCAAATAGCGACGGCGGCCTGCGTCCACCGTTGCGAACTGGTTCATATCCGTCGCGTTGGGAGACTGTTAATAATAAGTAAATTTTAATGAAAAATGGTTATTTTATAATAAAAATGAAAAAAGGTTGAATGAATGATGTTTTAATTTGTTCTTAAATTAAAAATATCTCTCTTGTGACCACTTCTAACTCTGCCTCTGACCCGACTCTGACTCTGCCTCCCGACTCTGATAAATCAAATTAAAAACTCCTACTCCGACTTCGTTTCCGATAAATTTATCTCCGTTACATCCCTGTTAGAGACACCCAGTTTTAAAAAGTTGTATTATTGTATAATGTCCCAGGACGAATAAGGATAGTTCTCAAAGAGTGTTAGCCATTGGATTGGAATTTTCCTTTAATAGCGCACTTAAGTTTGTGCGTCAGCGGCTGTACGGTCCAATAAAGAGGAGTGGTCTCAAGATTGAGCCCTGAGGAACGCCTTGAATATATCTATACGATATATTCAAGGCGTTCCTCAGGGATCCTTCAAAGATAAACTTGACTGATAATCAAATACATTATAATATTTAATTTAAGTATTGAACCTTACCTCGGCAGAACTCTTACATATTCTCCAGGTAAATAATCACAATTAGCTCTGTATAAAAGTATCTTTACAGGTTTTACTTTTAAAGTACTAAAATGTTCTGGAATAACAAAAGAAATTTATTGACATCGTTATTGTTTTATTTCTGGAACTGTAACTTGATATGATCAACGAAGATATTACGTATTTAAAAAAAAGGGGCCAAGTGCGTGTCGGGCCACGCGCATGTAAGGTTCGGTAGAAGTTGCTCATCACAATTAATGACTTCGGAACTTTCAAAAGTTACATGTTGTGTGGTGTAGCACACTGTGTTTAATACAATTTGTGTGGTGTCAACGGTTTGTAGAAATTCTATAAAACATTATAAAAACACTTTGTGGTTCGGGTTTACAACATTGTACCATTGCTGAACTTAACCAAACTTTGCGTTTTAAGGCAATAACAACACATTATCCAGAAAATACACATGCACTAAGATTTTTATTAAACCGACTCATATTGTACACGTACCATTTGTAATACATTGATATTTGATTCCTTCTTGCGGTTCCTTCGACAGCAAAAAGTTTCTGTTATTTACAAGATATTCCAATCCCAACGTGTTCCACATTGGTGCCAGTTTTGCTAACATTGTATATTGGAAGGACATTTGATATATTTCTGGAGAAACTTGCCCTACGGTACCTTCCTTGAAATTAAAAAAAAAATCATATTGACAACTTTAATTACGCAGGCAAAAGATGTTCCGCCGAAGGTTCGATGAATATTTGCTTCTTCATTTTTCCAGCCACTTACACTTTGCACTCGAGTCGCATTGCGGTACAACTTTTTCGCTTTCAATAGGTACCTTTTTTAATTACAAAGTTGGAAGATATTTGTTACGTTATACTGATGCAATAATTTAGCTTTGTAGAGGAAAAGTGAAGAGTATTATAATAAGACAATCGGCCACAAGAATCAGGCTAATGGCCCTACCGCATCGAACTCTGGCAAACCTACTTCGAGAATTCAACATTATTTAGCTAGTCTATGTGATAGAATAGGAATAGGACTTTCCCAGATTATCGATACATGCGGAAACTCCGCTTTACTTTATCTACCTCTTGGCCGATTTGACGTTCAAGGGCCAGTTATTCATTGGTATTTTTCTAGTTATGACCTGTTCTGGATTCGAACACTTCTTACTAAGCCTAGTTCTTAAATGATTTACCATTTCTGGTTTTGACTTCCTTACCTGACTGCCTTTATTGGGTAAAAATGCGCAACTTTTTTTGATGTCTCCGTGTGGATGTAGCGTTACTCAACAAGAAGTAACCCCTTAAAATAAAAACAACTCTAAGGCATTGTCCTAATACAACGCGATAACGCAAATGAGCGATGCGATCATCGTACGAGTCGACGATCAAACATATTGATCTAGAATAGGTGTCCTAATAGGCGTTATTTCATAACGTTATAAAATGTTAGAAAAACTATCGTATGCTTATCTCTGATTAGTTTTACACTATCGCTAGGTCCAAGCTCTCGTGAGCCAAAGGTCATGCGCTTGGAGATCTGGGGTTCCTGTGATTTTTAAGTTTAATAACTGTTACACTACTAAAAGTTTACTTAAAAAATATATAATAAAAACAAAGCTAACCTTTGGAGTTTTTGGCGGGATTTCATGAAGTGCGGTTAGCGTCATATTTTAATTATACTTAAATTCGTTCATAGTGAATGTTGTGAAATATAATTGGTGTAATTTTGTGTTTCAACCGTCTGCACGACTGAAGAATTATTGGAATCTTTAAAATATAAATTAACCTAAGTAACCATATTAAGTTAAGTAAAAAAAATACCCTTGGATATGCATTTTATTTTACACGACGTAACCCTTTTGTTGTGTAGTACAAATCGTCGCTCTGAAAATGAGACGAACAAACCACGCTGCGAGAAGCTAGTTGCCACAATGGTTCATTTCTACTCTTACGAATGACTGCAATCCACTTCTCTTTTAGATTTTGATCTCGATTAGGAAATCGTAAAAGAAACGTATAATATATAATGTGTATTACATCCCAAAAAAATTATACGAATACATAAAGAAAAAAGATAATAAAGATGTTCCGTGTAATTGTTTATCCATGCATTACAATATTCGAATAATATAAAAGTATGCTACACAATGTATTTAATAAAATAACGTTACGTTATTTATATTTTTTATTATTTTTAAAGCATGTAACTGCTTGATGTTTAAATCTAAAGAAAATATAACTAGAAAAAATTCCACGCGGACCAGGCAGCAGACGGGACTCGAACCCGCACCCTTCGCAAACCGGGTGAATGCACTGACCAATTATGCTACCGCGGCCCTCACGGACCGCGTCGAAATTCTTCTAGCCATTCTTAAGCTGCAAGGCAGCGCCATCTCTTCGCATTATAGGTAACCCACAATGTCAAATGAATACTTTAACAAGTATTAAACAAATTTCTAGTTATGTTTTCAATAGATTTAAACATCAAGCAGTAACATGCTTTAAAAATTATAACGTTACGTTAAATTTCACGCTACCCAACAAAAGGGTAAAACTGTAATGTATAATCATGGCAGCATTTCGTTCAGGTTTTGTTTACAAAGCGACAATCTCAAATTTGATTTTGATTAATTGAAAATATTAGTTTATAACTTTCCTTACGTATGAAATGTGATTCCATCCTGTTTTTTATTCTTGGAAGATTGGTTTCTACACGTTTTCACAACACAATTCGGCATTTTCTCTAATAAATATTGTTTTTTATTATTACGTCACACTCCGCGCGCCGGGATAGCTCGACTGGGAAGCCAAGGCGTAGTTTCGCTGCATGTGTGTGCGTGTAACTGTGTATGTACACGGCGAGGCGTAGTTTTATCGGCTTCACTTTTTTGTTCGGCGGACTCCGTTTTTACTTTTTATTTGGTCTGAGCATAAAATACTGTAGGCTGGCGGCCCTACGGCGTGCCAACGCAGCGCTCGGTGTAGGCATTTATTTTCAAGGACAGGGCGGAGTCACAATACACCGTGCTTAAGTTCCCGCGATGACCGCGTCGCGTCGATAGGAAGCGGGGAGAGGGGCAGGGCTAACCCGACCAAACTGTGTGTCAATCGTGATCGCGTATTCGCGTTCTATTAGGACCCCAGTTCGCGATCACGCGATGGTCGCATCGTTTAAACGCGCGATGATCGTGTTATCGCGTTGTATTAGGACAATGCTTAGGCATTGTCCTAATATCACTCATAATATAATAATTTATCATCACACGAGTACATAACTTCAGAGATTGTTTTAAAAATTATTTGTTCTCAAAATATTTTTTTTATCCTTTTGCTCACTGTACTGAAAGAAAGCAGACGACAACGCAATGGTCTTATCCAGAACAGTAATATGAAGAGGTAGGTATTCTTAAGCAGAAGTGATCAAAACCAGAAATGGTCATATTATGCTGAGGCAGTCATTGAAGAATTCTTGCCCAAAGCCTCATTATGAATTGGACTCCAAACGTCTGATCCTTCTTGACAAGGGAACAATTAACCTAATTATTTATTGTCAATAGTCTTTAACAATGCGACCTTTTGTAACCTTCAGAAACTAATACCGTCATAAAGTAAAATTTTTGTCCTTTTCGAAATAAATCTCATTCTTCGAAAAGAACCAAAAATATAACTACCTACAATGACCTACATAAATCACATGAGTAAGTAGGTAGGTACTAAAAGTCCTTATTTTACTCACTTGCGTTAAGGAAAATTTCAATAGCAACGAAGTTAATTTATCATAGTCATCACCAAATTTATTGAAAATAATATGAATTTTTTTCACTTCTTCCTTATCTGGACAAGCCATAATCGATGAGTTTGAGAATATTAACATCCTGGAAAAATAAATCACGAAATAGATAAAAAGTATTGAAAATGCTTTCTTTATTTATTACTCGCCCTTATTTAACCGCCGCCGCAACCGACGCCACCACAGTTGCCAACGCCCTCACCGGCCCGCACTACTACATCCGTCGAAGAATTTGTAACGCCCCGCCCCGCCACCTACTCTCACCTCTCGTCAACGACTACCCACCACGAGTCGCGCTGCAGCACCCAAGGAGGCCGTCAGTTATTTGGCCAGGAGTGTCCGGCAAACATCCCAACGCGCCAAATATGAATTTGACGTGGTGATGATTGCCCGGATGATCAATACCGGCTCATTGTCGGATAGGCTGAAACGTTGGTTAGCTACCTACGCTCGGTTGTTGGAGCGCGAAGCGGGTAAGACACCCTTCCTGTGTCCCGCCGAAGAGTTGGCGATGGAGGCGCTGCAGGCAATTAGCAGCCCACCAATTTAGCTGCCGCATCCAGACCTCCCATGACACCGCAAACGCCCCCGAGCCACCGCTACTTCGCCTGAGACGCCCGATAAATACGCCTGCCACTCGCGAGATCCGCGACTAAGGGGATCGCTGAGCAGTGGCGACAGAACCACACCGCCCCATCATCATCATTTATTCATCATCATCATCAGCCTATTAATGCCCCCACTACTAGCGCACAAGCCATCCTTATGGATGGAAAAGGGAAATGGGGCCATGACCCACCACGCGAGCCCAGTGCGGATTGGCGGGTGCGACTACAGATGCAGCCGGGACCAACGGCTTAACGTATCTTCCGAAGCACGGAGGAACTCGAGATAGAAGATTTTTAGTCACCCATCCAATGACCGACTGCGAAAGATGCTTAACTTTAACGATCGCAGCCGAAAGCTCTAACCGCCTGCGCTATCGAGCTCCAGAAAGCACTAAGCACTTTATCAAAATATATTTGCATCTTTTTGTTTATTTTATCTCCTCCAGTGTCTACTCCAGCAAAAAGAAAAAATTGTTTCCCGCGCTTTATTAGCTTCGTCTGTGTACGTTTCTTTACTCACGTGGACTACTAAGACAAATCTGTAGGACCACCAGAAAACATTTATTTTCATAGGTTAGTTTCATCTTAAAAAAACGTACCTGCACTTCAATATTTTCCAATGATAATCTGATGGGGCTGATCTATCATGTTTGTCTTGCAAGTTAGCGACAGCTTTGATATACCCCATATGACCAAAACAAGGATTTTTGATAATTAACTCGTAATTATCCATTTTATGGCAAATAATTTGAATGTTCAATCGGGAAGTACTATGAAAGTTGGCGCCAAATAAAGCATTTATATTTATTTAATTTTCTCATTTCGAAAGCAAAGGAAACTAAGTCTGAACAGGCTCATGTGTAGTAAAACTATTTTGTAAGTGGGACGCGACTTTTTTTCTGTTTATATTTTAGTCTCACAGTACCATTACGTTGAAATAAAAGTTCTATTTTACTTAAATGTGTATGTGCAATGAAGACAATTACATTATCAATAACTAAAGAAATAGTACAAATACCTATTTTAATATTAACAATAACAGAGGATGAGTGTAGTACTACACAGTATAAAAACTAAACTTAATTAACATATGAACGAGGAGTGAGAAAATAAAGCACAATAAAAAAATTATCTTCAAACAAACCACAGAAATTACAAAAGTAATGCATTTTTGTATTTTAAGTAAGAGCTGCTTTTATTAGACGCCAGTGGACTTGCGTTTATTTCATTTTATTCGTCAAATTTCAATTTGACTATCTTTATTGATATGAAACGTTAAAGCGTTTAAAACATTCCAAAGCAGGGGACGACGACAGAAAAATAACTTGTAAATAAATCTTCGGTGCGTTTATACCAAACATTTAACAAAAATGATTCACAACATGTTACACAAGTGTGGACGAACAATGTTAGATCATGGACGTGATTTATAACATGTCATATGATTTGAACGCAACTTTAGAGGTATGACACAGTTAAAAATCTATACGTTTTCATTCCATATTTGTTTTAATTGATTTAACGAAAAATTATAAACAGTTTTCAATGTATACGAGTAAGTAGGACACCAGAAAATTATTTTTTCTCTATCTATCTAGGGATTGGAAATTGTCCCTCATGCGGGCCACTTCACATGACTATTTGAATTTGCCTTATCCAAGTTTAAAAGCCATCTCTTCATTCAGTATAGACCATGATAAGGATATTATACTGTTGTCAAAACCAGTTACGGTAAATACGAATAGCCATGGGAGTGCTTTCCTCATATTTATTACGAACATTACTATATAATGTTTTTGTAGGTACATATTCACTTTACAGTTACTAAATTGTCTCACTACCTCAAAACACACTTCTTGACAATCTACATAATAGGTAGGTAACAGCTACTCATTTATGAAAAACAGTCCTTTAAAATTATAAAATCACTAAAATATAAACATTTACTCGTTTTGATTTTCAAGTTGGTCTCGTGCTTTACGCAGGACACCCTGAGTTTTATGAATTTCACGGCAAATTGCTCTTTGTACACTTCTTTTTCTCATATTCGCAGCGTTCAATTGTGCCAAAGTTTCGGCTAAAGTAGCTTTAGTTCTAGCTAACTTTTGTTTCAGTGTTAAATTTTCTTCGTACAACGAACCTAAAACAAGAAAATTATCATTAAATAATGCACCTTATATTTAACGACATCTTCCGTACTCGAGTGGCTTTCACACCGCATTTCATTGTCGTCGGCGAGAGGTTAGTTTTGATTCTGCGTTGAATTACGATGTATATAAAAACTTAATATTATTTTTGTAGGGTTTTGATTTCAATAACAATTTCTTTAAAATATGATACTTAAATTATATTAAAGAACTAGCCTGTCCGCCAGAAGCTGTCATGTCTGATCATGTTTCGCTATTAATATAAACAAGACAAAAGTAATAAAGTCTTCTACAACAAAGGCGATCTTTATGAAACATCCTTAAGATTATTCTTTTTCACCTAAATATATGATTAGGTATAGATTTGTTGAGGTTTTTCTTGTGTTAAATGATTTTGTTAAAAACACAATTACTTATAGGACGGAGGTAGGATGAGGAGACTATAAATCAATCTAAAATTATTATATAGGTACTCATCAAAAGAGTCTAAGGAACAATCACTTTTTTGAACTTTTGACCGATTTTTAATATATTTACTTAATAAATAAATAATAAATATTTCCAACACTCACACCAATTCGCCTAGCCCCAAGCTAAGCACTTATGGGTAGGGTAACCTAAGATTAAAATAAAAAGGGTAGATACGGCACTAGCCTCACAAAAGTGATCCGCATAAATTGTGGTCCACGACCCTAATCGCTTTAGTCACAACTTGACATGCAAACGACGTACATGTGAACGCCAAAAAGAAATATTGCTAATATTTTGTGTTTATATTATAAAGCAATGCCTAAGCGAATTTTTAAAAAGTGCTCAAATTGCTCAAGAACTTTAAACCCACGGCATCACTTTTCATTCGTAAGTACTATAAAATATATTTTTTCTTAAAAATTACTGTTTGTTTTGAATTTTATTCGGTAGTGTCGTCGAATACTGGTCGCGTGATTGGTCGGTAAGTGCAGTGACGCGAATCTCGCCGTCTCGTTCGCGCTGCCGTTGAAACTTAACGTGCTGTTTCGTTCGGGTCGGTAATGCAGTGACGTGGATCTCGCCGTCCCGTTCGCGCTACCGTGGGATCAGTTCTTGTTTGATGCAAGTATGAACGTACCGTATCTACCCTTTTTGTTTTAATCTAAGAGGGTAACGAATAGAATACATATATAAGTATATTTATATAGAAATACATATTGAACATCCGTGACTGGAGTACAAATGCTCGTATTCATCACACAAACATCTGCCCCCACCGGGATTCGAACCCGGGACCTCTCGAGTCGGCGACACCATGAAACCCGGCGTTCAAACCACTCGGCCAAGGAGGTCGTCGAAAATACTACCCGTATTTAAACGAGTGACTAAATTAAAATTTTAAGTGACAAAAATACTACGAGTGACGAGAAATCAATACAACAGCGACTAAAAAACATTCACTTACGTTACTTAAATTACCATATGAGCAGTTGTATAATATTTGAGCGACCTGATATTTGTTTGAGTGACAACATTATGTACTGCAATATTTAAAATTTATGGCAAATACTTTAAAATATATATTTAAATATATATAGCTTAAAGTATATAAAAGCTTAGCATAAATTATACATTTCATAACGATACTATAAAATATCTACTGATAAAACTTGCAATTTGTGTAAATGATGTTATACAATAATCAAAAATATTTGTTATGATCTAGAAACATGTGTAACTCTTCTTTCGAGAAATGTATAAGGAAGGACACTGCAAATTAATTAAATGTAGAACACGAGATCTAAAGTCAGTTTTATAGGCACATACATGAACTATACAATATAGTAGAATAAAAAACTTACGGGGTGATAATGCAACTGCATCATTTTGTTCTAAACTTGATAACCTGTCACTGTCAATTCCTTGATCTGGAGATGTTGGCCGATCTTCCTCCAAAGGTTGACCTACATTAACTAATGCAACTTTAACGTCGGCTTCAGTAGCAATCCGTCGAGTAACTTCTATTTGTAACTGAGTGTTCGCTTCTAGTGCATTTGATAGCTTTTCGCGAGTTTCTTCTAATTCTCTTTCAACTTTTAGTCTATCATGCTGAGCTCGAGCTCTTTCCAAAGCAGCCTGTGATGCTTGTACCGTTGCTTCGTCAGCAGCGCGCCTCAATGAGCGTTCAATTGCTAAGTGTGATGCTTCTAGTTCATGTCTTTCTAAACGTAGCTTCTCTGTCGTTTGCGCAGCTTCATCAAGCTGTCCTTCGAGATCCCGTATTCTGGACTCCACAGAAAGAATGGTGTTTTTTAAAGTATCTATCGTTTTATTAGCTTCTTCTACGTTCGTGTGTTCAACGGCTATTATGGATTTCAGGTTATCTTTTTCCAAAAGAAGGTCGTCTATTTGTGTTTTTGCAAAATCTAATTTACTATTTAAGTCATGATTCTCATCTGCAAGTAATTCATTTGCTTTAGAAAGTTGATTTATTTCTTCGAAAAGAGCTGTTTCGCTAACATTTTTATTGTCTTCCGAACGTGAGCCGTATGAAACCCGTGACCGCCGGTTACGGAACTTATTAATCTCTGAAGTTGATTCTCTGGCTGCCAAACCGGTATCACAAAGACCAACACGAGCAAGAGACACATTTCTGTCCGGTTCCGACCAACATTCAGATTCCGATAGAATATCTGCTTGTGGGAAATATTTAGAATTTATTGATTTCTTACTTAACCGCCTATTATCGTCGCTGCACATAACATGATGTCCAAACATCAAAGTTAAATCCTCAATTCTTAATGACCGTGAAATATCCAGATTGCTCTCATCCATAGTTAGATCTCCAGGTGCCATTGATTCGTCCAATTTCAGTCCAACTGGTAAAGCTAGACTTTGCTCCAAAATGCTCTCAGCTAATTTTTTTTTATCTTCTCCTAGTACACACCTAATGATAAAAAATGCAATAGTCAAATTAATGATTTCAGTAGAAACAATTTAAATAAGTTGTATTTGGGGATTAAATGGATAAAAAGTACTTACTTGTGAGAAAGTAGTTTGTCTAAAAAGTACGCTAATCCCTGTAAACGACGAGTCAGCAGTTGTTGCAAGTTCCTGAAAGTAGTTATGTAAGTATTATAAATATAAAAAAAAATTGCTGGTGTCTACAAACTTGAATGCGACTGTGGGCTCTCCTAAATCGGGCAAACAAAGAGTATAGGGACTCGGGTAAAAGAACATATCGCAGATATGAAACATAGGCGCGAAAATAAGTCTGCAGTGTGTGAACATGCATTAGGGGGACCAAACCATTAAATTAGATTTGATAAACCACAGATTCTTGTAGCTGAGCGGCGGTTCGTTCCTCGAATGATGCGCGAGGCTATTGAGATTAAAAAATATCCAAATTTCAATAGGGAAGATGGTTGGTATATACCACCAGCTTGGCAACCTATTATACAGGAGATAAAATCCCAACCCCGAGCACACACTGCACGACCATCAGATACTATTAGTTCTTTTTGTTTGCATAATTTAACATAAGAAGGAGATAGAAAGCCTCTCTTGAATTTGTTTCGCCGGTTCTTCTCAGAAAGGTCTTCCAATTTTGGAACCGGTGGTAGTTTACGGAGTTAGGGTCAAATAAATAAACTCAAAATTACAAAAAATAATTTTAAATAAAATACTTTATTAAGTAAATTAATTAATAAATTCATACATAGACAATAAAACTTTAAAAATTGAACAATGAAATAACCGAACTCTCAATAAAAGTCTTTCGAAGGTAGCTCGACAAATTAAATAAAAGTTTAATTCTGACGACGTAGCCTGTAAAGGCTACAAAACGTCAATAAATAAATAAAGTTTCGTGCATTAACCCGTAAAAACTAGTTTTATTTAAAAAATATTTAATTTTACAAAAATTTAATTAATGCAACTAATATTAGATGGTATTATTTTTATTCGGGTAAGGATCAACCACAGATCAACAGTCCAGAAGAATACTCTTGAGTAAACTGCAGAAAACATTAAGTCTGCAAATCAACAATATAATGATCTAACAAGCGTTATAATTAATGCACTATTCAAATCATCGAAATCGGTTCTATATAACTAATTTTATGGTAGCCAACATTCACCCGGCGGCGAAACGTGTGACGTCACAGAGCTCGATCGTGGTTCACTCCGAACGAAAATCAGTAGCCTCTCTACGCACATTCGCGCCCGAGCGCTAGAGCTCTGTGACATCACAACCACATGACCAGCCCAAAATTCGTTTAGAATTGTGGTCATAACTTCGTCAATATTTCTCGTAAAACACTGTATTTTATGGAATCCTTAGCTTTAGAAATCTGCATTCTCAACTAAAATCGTTACGGATCCTCATTAGAAGAGGGCGACTTCGCCTACGTTTAATATTTGGATTCTCATTAAACAAACTTTCATCTCCAATTTGTTTGTTCCCAAGATACTCCAAGGTTCCCTTTAACTCAATATCAAAATTGTCTCAATTGTTTAAGAGGGAAAAAAATAAATCATATAACTTAAGTACTTACTCAGATGCGTCTACATTTTGAATGTTATCTATATTTTTCTGCAGCTCTCTAATTTTTTTCTCTAAATCTTTAATGTGCTCGTCCTTACATTTCAGGATCTCTTCATATTTCTCCATTTGGGAATCGCTTACATGGGCATAAGCCAATTCTTTGTTCTAAAATAGCAAAAGCTAATTATTACTTATCTGCAGAACAATTTTAATGATTCTATCTTTATACTGATTTAACCTACCAATTTTAATTTTTTTATATCCTTATCTTGTTGTTGAATTTTTTTCATACATCCTTTAATCATCTGCAGCGCCTTTCGATTTTCTCTTCTAAGTTTGACTAGTTCATCCTGACAAAAAATAAAAAAGTTATTACTTAAATGTTCTAAAATAAATTGAATTATAATAGTCTGTGCATTAGGGCAAAATGACAGTTATTTTTAGTAATACCATATTTTTCAAAACTGCAATACAAATGGCAAAATATCACAGTAAAACCAATGGTGCTATATTTCAAAAGGGAATTGTAATAATATATATTTTTCTAATTAACGTAACATATTACGTAATTTTAATTGCTTTAATAATTAACAATCTACGAATCAATTACTTATAAAATAAACTTCTACTCACTAAATCTGTATTATTGACTGTAACACCCAGGTAATCTCTGAAACATAAGAAATAAATAACATTGATATTTACTATTTTAATGTTTAAACAAAATATTTTTTTGGAAAAGATCGAGATATTTTACCCGGCTATATCCGACTCTGCACACGTATCTTCCACAACGTTCGTTTTTTCAGATTCCTGCAACATATACAATAAATGCATGTTAGTGTCTTTATCATACAGTGTAAATCTTCATGTGGAAAATATATAGTCAATCATTTTGTTTACTAACCTGGATTTCGGTATTTTCAATTTTAGTTTGAGCAATATTTATAGACAAATCAACACTGTCATTTGACATCGAGCCCTGAAATTATTTTAGGTGTCAATTATTGCCAAGAATTAGGCCTCCCTCAAAGGCGAGTTATTATCGGTCGATAATAGGCATCGGATGAGTTATTGCGATATTTGCTTTTAATACATTATGTTTTGGGACGGCTACGAAGTTACATACTGCTGCGATAATGACGACTCAATAGAAGTACATATCTCAATACCGTGTGAGGCGGGTCGTTACGTTCCCTAAAACAATAGTTGAATGAAGCGATAGCTTGTTCATGCGTCATGCTCGTGAACGGGTGCTGCCAGTGGAGATGAGTCTACTCTTGCTACATTAGGTACTATTAAGCGTTGTGTTTAACTTTAATCGTACATTTTATTATGCCTAAACAGTAGGACATATTCCTATACATTCCTGAACTTTGTTAAATCAGTTTTTTATGTTTTTTTTATTTGATACTCATAATTTTTTAACTTTTACATTTGTAATGGGAAGTGACTTCATGAATTATCTAATATTTACGTAATTTTTCAATTTGACGACTCTGTATATATTACAGGGACAAAAAAACAGCCCTTGCTGAGTTACTTGCCGGTTATTCTCAGTACAAGGTCTCCCGCCGTAGATTTTCGAACCGATGGCGTAGCTTTTCGACATTCACAAATGCTTGTAACAGCAAGATATAAATGATATTGATTTTTAAACGAATACGATAATTATTATCGTCCGATATAACGCGCTTATGTGGGGAAGGTTTACACTATTATATAAAAAAAGATAAATTTAAAAAATCAAAAAACCCGACTGCTTAATTATACTTCAAATAAAAACTGAAAAGAAAAAAACAAGTCCAGTAGTCTATAATTCTGTTAATAAGGAACAAAGCTACTTTAACAGTCGGGACCCACTGTTGAAAAATATTATGTATTCTTGAATATCTAATGGGTTCCGACTGTTAAAGTTGCTTTGTTCCTTATTAACAGAACTATAGACTACTGGACTTGTTTTTTTCTTTTCAGTTTTTATTTGAAGTATAATTAAGCAGTCGGGTTTTTTGATTTTTTAAATTTATTTCTTTTACATAGTACACCGCGCTATTACTTAGTCATCGTTGTAACTTTTTAAATATTTGTCGAAATGACATAATGTAAAAAGCAAAGTTTATCGTCTTTAAATATGAAAAGCGATAAAAGTATTTGTTTTGATAAAAAATGATTTGTTAATACAAAATATGCATTTTGGAAATAGATATCAAATAATATTTTACTTTTGATTCACTATTTTAGCGGTAATGACTTACACATTAAAAATAGATATATGGTGTCACGGACTTTTTTTTAGAACTATTTAAGAGATACATTTTCACTCTAAATTACATTCATGTAACTTTTATTGTTTTTGCAGTGCAGGCCAAAATGGCTCGCAGATGGGAGATTTTTTCCCGTCTTATGTGACACTTATTGTTATACATTGGCCAATTCACTCAATAACTACATAAATTATTATATATATGTAATTATCATATATGAGCTATATTACTGTTAAGTTTCATTAAAATCCATTCAGTATTTTTTAGGTGAAAGAGTAACAAAGATCCATACAAACGTAAGATTGAAATTAAAAGCGTAAGTGGTTAATATACAACTTTAAAGCTTTGTAGATCCTAAACAATCATATTAAATGAAAAATGGTGTTAGGAACCTAAATATGATTTTTGATTATCTAGACAGTGATACCCCACTCGATATATTTTGTCAACTTATTTTTTTTACTTCGTCACAATATGGCGCCTAATTTTGCCCATATTGAATTTTGATTACTATCATATCTTTAGTAGCACTCCCATGATTGAGACGAATCGATTGATGTATGAATCATCAAAATCGGTCCAGGCGTTTGGTCTCTAGTGTGCCACAAAGGAACAAACATACATATATAGACTGTTAAACACATAACCCTGTCTGCGCGTCGCGCTTCGCGCTCTTGCATTGCGCAGCCGGGTAAAAAGGTGAGTGCTGAATTCATGTCTGACAGCGAGCACACTAACAAAGGAACGGGATGCAGAATATGCTAGACATTTATCAAATGTCCGAAAGGTCTTGGCTCTCAGAGGCCCTCGTTCGGAGGCCTGCAGGTCATTTGCGCTATTTATTATTTTGAACGACCCGTCAAAATTCAAATATGGTTCAATTAGTCCAATTCTAATTGCAAGTGAAACGTCATAAAAAGTTGCGGTTCATTTACGGTTCAATGCATTTCAGTCGTTTGACATTGAGCGCGATCGGCCTCCTGCACTCGCTAGCACGAACGCTCAGATGTTATTCGTTTAAAAAATTGGGGTGACCTTTACCACTTAGGGAGAAAAATAGTTTACGTCATATTCTCAGACCTACTGCTGTATATTATATACCCACAAAATTTCATAATAATGGGACAAGCCGTTTCGGAGGAGTTTTATTACAAATACTGTGACACCAGAATATTTTTTATATTCTGGTAATATAATATATTAAGATTTAATTCATAATAATATTCATTTCCTCCCCCTTTTTCCATATTCTTATCATAAGGGTACTTCTATACCTGTTGTTCCAGTACGTCAATAGCTTCAGCTGCTGCAGCGAGTAGTTCTTGTTTGTCTGAAAGTTGTCTGCGAAGTTCTTCTACTTCCACTTGTAATCTTACATTATGTTCTAATAAACCCTAAAATAAAAATATTTTATATTCTTCGAATCTAGATGATTACATTTATATTTTAACGCATTTAACTGCTAGTTTAAATCTAAAGAAATTTTTGAAAGAAAAATTTCCACTCGATCCAGGTTTTAAGACGGGATCCCGCCTGTTTAATTTTCTCAATTAAAATGATAATATTATGTCATAATAACTATTTGTGTTATCGGTATTATTTAAGTTAAAAATTCTTAATATTTACTTGAACTGCTGGAGGGGATCCACTGCCCAGTTTCTCTTCTAAGAAATAAATTCGTAATTTTAAATGAAAATTTTCTTTACGCAAAGCGTTTAACTGCTCTTCATATTGCTTCATACTAATGCCACTGGCGTTCGTGACATCTGAAATTATAATTTACACCTGATTATAATAAGTTCATTTGTTTAAAGATAATAGCTTACTCCTTGATTTTAGGTTAGTACTTGTTCATTAACTTACCGTGACCCTCTGGTGTAGGCAGCGTCATCTCCTGCAGTTTTCTGGGGCTTGTACTGAAATTATTTACATAAAAATAATTAATACAACATATTAATGCAATATAAGAGCCTGCATAAGCGTAGTATACGCGTCGTTACGGACAGATGTAGTTCGCAGTTTATGTCAGTATGAACATTTAAATTAGGATATAGTTTAACCGATGCTCAATTAAATGAGTGCCCAATAGAGAATATGTACTAAAACTTATTGACTAATTATATAATGAATTAAAGATATAAACCAGTGCTAGAATTTTTTTTAAACAAATAATAAACCCGACTTAAAAATCGAAAATGGAACTTACAAAGTAAAAAATAATATCTGGTTCATGATTTGGAAGTCTCGTTTCTGATCGGTAATAATATATCTTTCAATCTCGACCCACCTACCTCCAAATCATGAACTAGATATTATTTTTTAGTTCCAATTTCGATTTTGAAGTCGGTTTTATTTTGTTTTTTTTTTTTATTTCTTCCATTTTAGTGAAAATTACACCGGCCAAGTAAACAATAACACAATTGACGGATAAATCGGTGAACATGCGAAAAACATCGTGCGTGCCTCAAGGGCAAACAAATTTGAAGGTTTCCCTCGATTTCCACGGATTCTACCATCAAATCTTGACTTGGTTCCAATGGGACAACCTCGGAGGTGCACTCTTTCGAATAAAAAATGAATCTTGGAAATCGGTCCACAATTGACGGAGAAATCGGAGTACATAAAAAATATACAGTCGAACACAGAACCTCCTCTTTTTTTGAAGTCGGTCTAAAAATACTGTGCTGGGCGTAGCTTGCGCTGCTGTTCAGGGGTTGCTTGGTGGAGTAATACTCTTTCTCCTTATCTCGAAAAACAAATCTACTTAATAATAAATAAGTAAAGACAGGGCAATGAAAAAAAAACATATGCTTTAATTTGGATATACTATTATAAATAATTGCCGTGATTTTAGGGTTTCATTACTAAAGTGTGACACTGGAATAATAACCGCATTTATTGGTTGATTTATACAGTAATGTTGTATGTATTTTATTATTTACTGAAAGCGGTATACTTCTGACTCTTATGCCAAAAAACATCATTTAGATAAATTCTGTTGGTTGCTCAGAACATATTGATGGCTCCTCAGGGAGTCCTACTGAGTCAACCGACCAATTCCGGTATTTAAACATAAACTTATTTTTCAAACAATAAAAATATTCGTAACTTATGTTACATAAAAAACGTAAACTGTGCAGTGGAGTGCATAAAAGCGATTGTGCAGCCACAGCAGGCCCTCTTTGGGCATTTTGCGTCTATTCGTGGTGGAGTTTACTGGATACGTTGAAATTCCGTACGTAAGTAAACTAAGCAGACCTGGGGTAAAATTACATTATTATTATCTCTCGGTAGACACCTATTTAAAAAAGCAAGACCAGAAGGTCTAAAAATTACAAGACTGATTAACCAAGAAGATAATCATCGTGATGAAAGAACTTTTAAAAACACAAAGCTTGGATATGTTTAAGAAAGTCAAGGTCCTTTTAAAACAAATCAAACCTTAAACTTGGGCGAAGACGAGAATGGAACATCATGATGATATGGACGCAATAGCAGAAGTATGACCCAAATATTGTGAGGAATTATACAAAACCCCCACAATCATACTCCCCTCCCCTAACCTACCCTACCCTACCCTCCATCGCATTATAGGTTAATGTCATGAGTATCTAATATTAATGTTACTGTAACTTAGAACCTCCCGTATTTTTATCTGAAGTCATAGCTGCTATTGCTGCGCTTAAAGACCTGGGTCTGCTGAAATCCTAAAAGTACTACGCTTCTTTACTGGCAAGATTGAAAGAAGCCATCAAGGAAAAAAGAAGAGGAAAGCTGCCAAAAGTTGTGGGTTTTTCTGCACGACAATGCACCCGTTCACACGTGCCATGTTGCGACGGCTGCCATTCGCCGATGCGGCTTCGTACAATTTACGACCCACCCTACAGTCCAGACTTGGCACCCAGTGACTATTATTTATTTCCAAAAATGAAGAACGAGCTGCGTGGAAAAAAATTGACGACGATGAAGACATGAAGTCCGCAATTTCGGCCTATTTTGACACCAAAGAAAAATCATTTTTTTTCGATGGTATAAACAAGTTATTTCAGAGAGAAAAATGTATTAGGGTTAAGAGCCCTTTCACATTTTTTGCAATAAATCGCAATTTTTGAGCGCCTCGTTTGCCCCCTTTGAAGAGATTTTGACTACTTCCAATAGAAATAAACAGTAGATTTATTCTTCCTATTGAAAATTAATGTAGAATATATTCAAATACTATTTCCATTTTTTTGTACTGATCGTTCTACCGCAGCTAGTTTACGGAAAAAACGATAATATGCACAACTTATAACGCCTTAATCTCACAATAATGTTCAATAAATTAGATCAAATTAATTACTACGACACCAGAAATATGTTTTTGTTGCAACATAATGTATTAGAATCTTGATTTTCCATCTCATTAATTATTAAAAAACATCTAACCTCCGTGAGTTTCCCCAAAAAATAACGCAGGTTTAACTCGTATTTTGATATTGAATTAAATAGAATTACTATCAAAAACTGTCATAAAACTAATCTACAATCATTGAACTACTGAAATATGTATATAATTTTATAATAATTTCATTAATTATTATTTTATAAGACTCTGAACATCACCCGTAAAATGCAATATATAGTAGTGCAAGTCTAGACGCCGCGGCGCGCCGTTCAGTACGGCGCCAGCGCCTTTGGAGGTCGGACCTGTGTCGCTTTGTACCGCACGCGTTCCGAGCGATGCTACGAGTGCATTCATCGTAAAACGGGCTGGATATACTACGACCGCAAAAGTTTAATCGTTGACTGTATGTAAGTTTCCACAACCGTATTAAATTTTATTATTATAAGTACCTACCGAGTTATTAATTATCGTTGCTTCAACTAATATTTTTGTTATAAGCTTTTACAATGGTGCGTAAAATTCCTGCTAACGATTACCATTGTGTCAAAAAAAGAAAATGAAAGAATGATGCAGCCTTAAGAAAGCTTGTGAAGTAAGGCGAATATGCTTATAACATTTCGTTTTTTATTTTTGTGGTGTCAATGGGTATATTATATTAGCCCAACATAATAATATATTTAGAATAGAAATCCACAATTCTATGTATTTTAGATGGAAACAAAATTTTAATGGCAACCCCTAAAATATTGAAAATATACCGACCATATAAGTTCAATGGATTCGATTGCAACGGAAACTGTAAGTTTTTCATGTTGTTATTGGAAGTAGACAATGAAAAGAGAAATTGAAATTATAATAATAAATTTAATTATATAGGAAAAAAAATGCTGTTGGATTGGAAATCGAAGCCGAGGAACAAAGGGAAGCGTTAAACTCTAATTTAAATATTTTATTTCTTTTATATTCACTTAATGGATATTTCACTACTACACTAGGTACATGGTTTACAATGTTAGCAGTTTGGTTTTTTGTTTTAAACTTAAACTAATGGGATGCATTTCTAGAGAAAAAAAGTTTATTTTTAATATTTTATAATTAGACTTCTTTGCTCCATAAGTTCAATTGACAGTAACTTGCTGATTTACGTACCATATCTGTGTCTGGATTGGAAATGTATTTCCAGTATTGCCTATATCTGTTTATATGCGTAGATAGTCGATAAAAGCAGTATTGTAGTCAATTAGATAATCTGTTTTCAGGAGGAGTATATGGTTGATGGAGGACGTGTAATGATACCAGGACATTTTGCATTTGGAAACACCAGACTGGGTGTTGGACCGTCAAATGTCAACATATCAATATCACCTCAGCTGAAATAAGAACTTATAGAATTGACAATGAGCGAGGAAATTTCAGATGTTGTTATTATAAGTATTTTGTTTATTATCGTCATACTTTTATTAAAATTAAATGTATTGTGGCCCTTTGTCACCGTTATAATCCACAAAGAATAATAATATATTATATTATAGATAACTATAATATTATAGTTTATATTATATAAGTTAAGGTTATATTAACCTTCATCGTAATTTACGAAAAACAAAACATCAATCATCAGTTTCAAAAAGAGACAATCATTGTACGTGATACGTTATACTACCAGACTGCTTCCGGTTATGATAGCATCAGTGATGATAATCTTTGATAACACTGATGAGTTATTAATTGTATAGAGAATAGCAGATTTTATTGAATGTGCTTTATAGCAGCTAGTGATGGAGGAGGTGTGAACTTTCCCAGCTCCGTTTTCATATTATTTATCCTGAAATTACCATACGAGAACTCGCAGCAAAAATTTCATGAGTTAGGTGTGTAAGAGATGAGTTCCTATGAAAGTTAAATGCGCGCGCATCACCGTAACACATAATTTTAACAGCATGAAGTTGGTCGCTTTAGCGACCAACTTCATGCTGTTACTTTTGTGTTTACTGCACATTAATAAAATCTACCAACAAAATAGAAATAGAATCTCTATTTTGTGGGTGCTAACGACTGCATTGTGAAGGCCTATCAAAAGTATTTATTAATCTGGAACAACGGAACCAAAGCGCGATTCAGGAGACTACAGCGCCATCTCTTGACCATTGGTGTAGTAGAACCAAAAACCACATCTTTATTTTTTGTAATAAAGTAACAAAAAGTATTTATTAATCTGGAACAACGGAACCAAAGCGCGATTCAGGAGACTACAGCGCCATCTCTTGACCATTGGTGTAGTAGAACCAAAAACCACATCTTTATTTTTTGTAATAAAGTAACAGTTATAGGTATTCATATTTATAATATTTATCCACATGTTTCTAGTTTGTATATTCGGAATACGTGTTTGAGTTTCATACAAGTGCAAATCACATATGTTCTAATAAATTATATTCAGGAGCGATTTAAATTGAATATTTTGAGTATTTATTTATTTTTTCAAATTAAAACTGAACTTTATTGACTGTGTCCTTTTCCAGACTTTTTATT